GCAAAAAAGGAAACAAATTATTTTATATATAAGCAAACATGGACTTATTCATCTTGATTAAGGAGAATTGATGGTGGAAAGGCAAATTTCTGACAATCAGAAGAAAAAAATTACCTGTCTGTGGTAGACAGAATAATGTCCCCCTGCCAGCCCACCCCAGGAAGTATTCACGTCCTAATCCCTGGAACCTGTGAATATATTACTTTAGGAGGCAAAAGGGACTTTGCAGATGTGATTAATTGAGGAATCTTGCACACATTAGCCTCAACTATGCAGGTGGGCCCAATGTAATCATAAGCTTCTCTATAAAAGGGAGGCAGGCGGCTCAGCGTTAGAAGGGCTAGCGTCGTGACGACTGAGGTTGGTGATGTACAGCCACGCGCAGTGGACTGGGGGAACCCTCTAGAAGCTGTAAAGGGTAAGAAAACCGATTCTCCTCAGTAGCTTCCAGAAGGAACACAATCCTGCCAACACCTTGATTTTAGCTCAGTGAGAATGATTTGGGACTTCTGACCATCATAACTGTAAGATAATAAGTTTGTGTTGTTTTAAGCCACTAATTTTGTGTTAACTTGCTACAATAGCAAACTAGTATACTGCCCAATCATGCATTCATTTAGCTCTGGATATAGCCATCCACCTGTCATGCCAAACACTCTCATGCCTCGGCCTGGAATGTCTCTCCCATCCATCTACCTAGATCCTAGATCCTATCTAGCTCTTTTAAGAGTAGCTGAACCTGGGGCAGATGGTTAGCTCAGTAGATTAGATCGCAGGCTCATAACACCAAGGTTGCAGCTTTGATCTCCATGCCCTCCACAACTAGATTGAAACAACTACTTGACTTGGAGCTAATGGGTCTTAGAAAAACACACTGTTCCCCAATTTTAAAAAATTAAAATTAAAAAATGATAATTGAACCCTTCGCTTCCCCTTGGAATCTTTGCCTGCACTGGGCTCTTCCACTGTCCAGCACCTCTAAACATGTCTCCTTTTTGGCACTTAACACACTTGAGTTGCAATCACTGTATTCCTGCTTGCACCACTTTGCCAAAGTCTTGCTTAATAGGTGGTTTTGTTACTTGTTCCCTAGTTATTTGCTAGGTCTCTCCAACAATAAGCTTTTAGAAAACAGGTCCTACTCCTCTGTGTGTGTACACATGCACTCGTGTGTCTTTCCTACGTATGTTTAATACACAGTGTTCCAACCCCCCCAAAAAAAAAACACAGCATCAAATAAATGCTCATTAAAAAAATGAACCAGTCTTTAGGCATACCTCGTTCTATTCCGTTTTTGCTTCATTGCGCTTCACAGATGCTGCATTTTTTTTCATTTCCTCTGTTAACTTTAATATTAACTCTACTAACTTGAACATTTTCAACATGCAGCCAAGAATGAGGTTTTGACAGTAAGCCATAAATTTACACAAGCAAGGGCCAGTCAAGTGGCTCAGTTGGTTAAGAGCTCACTCAAGAGTGTGAGCTCTGAGCAACAGCAGTTCAATACCCAAGAGCTGAGCTGTTGCTGAGCTGCCAACAGGTGGCAAGATGGTTCAGCTAAACCAAAAGGAAAAAAGAAAAAAAAATTACACAAGCAAGCATTGTCCATTTTCTGCACTGGCAACACTGAGATAACATGAAAGAGTTGGGTGTTTTCTTTCTTGTGCCTCTCTTTACTGAAGAGCAATAAAAAATATATATATATATTTGAAAGATTTATCCATACATCCAATTCATTGGCCATAAATCTCTTGAAATTATTGCATTTAATTTTGCTTTGTGGCAAATTTAAAAATCTACTTAGTTCCTCAATTGGACTGTTAAATGCAGATTTTTAAAGATCACAGTGATGACAGAACTGGTACATGTTTCATCATAATACACCTGCTTATGAGAACAGATGTTAACATTAAAAGGGATTTACATTTAAAATGGATCATTTGCCGTGTGGGCAAATACTTCTGGCATATTCATAACCAGAATCTTTATTTGGTTCCAGAGGGACTCTTTAGCCGACATTGCTGATTACTGATTAAACAGTTAAAACATGTATAGATGTTATGATTAATCATACAAAGCTTACCCATAGCAAAGCAGACACAAAAATGAGGTAAGTACTATGGGCAAGATTATGGTTCTTGGCAAGGCTAAAAGTCAATTGTAGTTTTGTGAGCTTTTCCTTATAAGCATGTTTTATTTGGGGGGGGGGTAATTAAAGTTTATAGGCGTGACATTTTCGAAGCTGAAACTTAAGTGCTGAAAGGCCACAGAACTTAACAAGTCTGTCTTGTCACCCAGTGAAACTTGGCATTATGCGGCACTACAAAATCTCTAACCTTTCCCAACAGGCAGTTCAAAGACCAACATGGCCATTTTGCCTTAATAGAGACAAGCTTTTGACTTGCAGCTCTCTTAGATGTGATCTCTGCTCCAAGGTCAGTTGTTTTTGTCGACATTACTCATGGAATAACACTTTATAGATTCTTCCAATAGCCAAGGAGGCTATAACAAGCAACCATTTTATCTGCCCTCTAAGCCACAATAATAAACTAATATTAGCCCTGTATAAGAATGAATGAAATTATTTTTCTCTCTAAAAAGCCTATATTTACAGTTCTCTGAGATAATCAATGGAAAAGAAAGCCAATGATGATTAACAGAATAAATTTATACCATTTTCCTCCTATTCCTCCCCCATTCAAATAAGCATATATTGGCACTTAAAACTGGAAAAATGTAGCACTCTTCTATCAAACATTTCATTAAGACTCCAGTAGATGTTTCTTTTTTCTGATATTAAGAGCGCCATTGAATATGTTGCTAAACTTGAAGCAGAGGCTAAATGGTTTTGTGGGAATAGCTTTTTTGGGCAGGGGGGGGGGGGGGCGGGGGCGGGGGCGGTGGTCATGTTTTCTCATGAGTTGTAATTGTTGTGGTTCAAGTTATTAAAAGGTTGAAAATTTTGCTAGGTCCTTCTCCATCTCAGCATATTGTTCTTTAAGCCTCTCCATAGCTTTTCTGGGCTCTTCATCCCCTTCAGCCTGTTTGTTGTGTTGTGCTGTTCTTTCATGAAATCCTCCCACTGGATTGTATGCTGTTTTTCATTAGCTGTTAAATGGTCATTAACAATCTTTTTACATTCCTCTGTGGGAGTCTACAGACTGAGTAGCTGCTTGCAATCTCAGGAGAACTTGGTTGTCTTGTATTGTTTTCTCTACATTTGGGAAAGAGCATGTTCATTTGTTTCATGCATCATAGTCTTCAAATTTTCAAGAATGCACTTTTTTAAAGATTTTATTGGGGAATTGGGGGAGGGGAACAGTGTTGGCGAATTGGGGGAGGGGACCAGCCAAGTTGTTGTTCTTCAGTTTTCGTTGTGGAGGGTGCCAGTTGCCATCTGGCTTCCCATCGGCAGCTCATGGCCTCTAAGCTCAAGGTGCTGTGTTCAATCTTAGTTGCGGGTGGGCATAGTCACCATCCCATGTGGGAGTCGAACCAGCCTTGTTAAGAGCACATGCTCTATCCACTGAGCCATCTGGACGGCAGCTCAGCTCAAGGTGCCAAGTTCAGTCTTAGCTGTAGGTGAGCATAGCCCACCATTGAACAGGCAATCTTGTTGTTACACCAGCTGAGCCATCCTACCACCTGTTGGCAGGTCAGTGACAGCTCAGCTCGGGCACAGTGGCACTGGCTCATGTGGGAATCTAACCGGCGGCCCTGTTGCTCAGAGCTCGTGCTCTTAAGTCAACTCTTAACCAACTGAGCCACTCGGCTGGCCCAAGAATGCACATTTCTTGAGAACAACATTTTTCTTCCAATTCTTTCACAACATAATAGGTTTCACCTTGAATAACTGATCTGTGATCTAAAAGCCTTCAATGAATTTCTCCAAAATCGTTGATAATTGGGTGCGCTGGTGAGCCCACAATCCCTAGGGAGTCCCTCTTCTTGTCGCAGCTGCCCTCTGCAGCCTCACAACCCACAATGATCTCCATCCCTCCACCACTCATCTCAACAAGCTCTGCCCCAAGATGTTGCTTTTTTTTTTTAAGATTTTATTGGGGAGTTGGGGGAGGGGAACAGACAAGTTGCTGTTCTTTTGTTCTTCAGTCTAGTTGTGGAAGAAGTTGCTTCACTGGCCCATGTTGGTATTATCATTACGCTCTTCCTGGGTGAGGCAGTCGCTTGCCAGCCATTGGATGGCCACTCACGATGGCTCACGGCAGCTCATGAAAGCACAAGCCCGCTGCAGGCCAGCCCCACTGCAGCCTATGCCAACACCAGCGACTCACAGCAGCCCAGTTCCAGGTCAAGCTGTTGTTCACCATCTTAGCTGTAGAGGGCGCAGAGTTACTGGCTCTCATGTGGGATCCGAACCGGGGCCCTGCTGCTCAGAGCTGGCGTCCCAAGCCAACTCCTAACCAACGTGCCACTCAGTCGGCCCTGCATTTTTTATTATACAAATGGAAGGCAAGACCCTCCCCCGGCAAAAATATTACTACTCACTTTATTGTGATGCTTTATTGTGGTGGTCTGGAACCAAACCCACAATATCTCCGAGGTATGCTTGTATTTTGTAACAAATTATTTCTCAGTAAGCAAAAGGAAAAATATCCGTGATAATATTTTATTATAATGCATTTTATTATACTATCTACTAACTTGCTGTAAGAAATTAGGCTCATTTATTCAGTTTCTCCCCGAGGAGGAACTCTCAATAGCACTTTTTTTCTAGTCTCAATTATCTGGTTTTCATATTGATGGTCTTTCACTTCAACCACTAGATGCAGTATCCAACACAGCCAAAACTTATTTATCCTTTTGACAAATATTAATGGGATGCCTACTGTGTGCAAGTACTGTTTGGGACATGGAGAAACAACAAATCAAAGCTTATCTCAAGGGGGAAAGATATGCAAATAAATATTATCAAGCAAAATACTATAAATAAAAAATGAAGTAACATAATGATAAAGAAATTAATGAGTTATTTTCCCTTGGAATAAAAAACCAGTCTTTAATGAGACAAACACAGTGATCAACAGGAGAGTAGGTGGTAGTGGTTAAGAATCAGGACTTTCAGGTTAAATCGAACTGGATTCAAATCCAGTTCCAGCCCCCATTGTGTGCCCTTGGACAAATTACTTCCCTGAGCCAAGCTGGCTCGTCTGTTTCAAAAAACAAAAAAGACACTCTCACAAGGTAATTATGAGAATTACATAAGATAATTCATACAAAATGCTTAACATGGTGCCAGACACATAGCAAGTAATTAATACATAGTAGCTATTATTATATATTTAAAACAGTGAATAACATTTCTGAATAATTGTTTTAAAACCAGTTTTCCTTATACAATATTACATGTTGAAAAAAATCACTCACCCTACAAATACTGAGACATGTAGAGGATGCTGTTTTGCTCCACAGATCACTCCTTGTGTATGAGAAGTTCATTGCCCCAGCAGGTTTTGAAGTTGGGCTGCTGAAGGCTCACACTTGATTCCCATTTTGGGGATTTTGCCCTCAACTGAATGGCCTCAGCTAAGGTTACACCCCCTTCTAGTTAAGCTAGAGAACCAAAGCCAACCCTCTACTTTTAATTTGGATCCATTTTGAATAGACCACCCCAACTCCAGAGCTCCCAGAGGTGGCCTGACGCCTCTTCTAGAAACCTCTTCTCTGCTCATTCTCTCACAGAGGTTGTTCTCAGCACTCCCCAATAAAATTGCTCACCAGTTTCCATCTCAGAGTTAGCTTCCCCAGGGAAGCTGAATTATGTCAAGTAACCATTATATGGACAAGGCACTGCTATGGAGCAGGGTTGGCATTTTTCTGTGAAAGGACAGATAGTGTGTTAGGCTTTGGTGGGCCATGTGTTCTCTGTTGTGTTTATTCAGCTCAGCCATTCTGGTTTTATGGTCATAGACAATATATAAATGAATGAGTGTGGCTGTGTTCCAATACAGCTTTTTTTATGGACACTGAATTTGAATATCATAATTTTCACATATCACAGAAAAACCTTATTTTGTGGTTGAAAAATTCCATTTTTAAACGGTTGAAAAAAACCTTAGCTCATGGGAGTTCAAAAAGGATGGAGCTAGATTTATTGGGGTGATCATTTCACAATGTATACAAATAGCAAATCATGTTGTACACCTGAAACTAATATAATGTTATGTTAATTATATCTCAAAAAACAAAACAAACCAGTCGGCTGGATTTGACCACTGAACCATAGTTTGCCAATCCCTGAGCTAGGGAAATGAGGTAGAGCACTTGGTACTCATTCTCGTGCATGAGCTTGTAACCTTGTTTTCAGGATATGAAAACCCCTTCCTGGTTCCAGAAGGGTCAAGAGAGCATGGAGAAAAGGAAGAGAAAACTATGGGGAAAAAACAAGATTCATAATTTCGTATCACCAAGAAAATCATACGCAGCAAATTCAGAATAGTTTTATATGCACTATGTGGCCTTTTCCATTTAGAAAATTTTATCTTCACTAGTAAACAGAATTAGGAGATTTGAGTGGCTGTAGCTAAGTAATCATTCAAAAATAAAAACATAACTGCAATTTGCTACTGTTTTAATGTTTATAAAGAATATAGTTTAAGTGATCTACTGATATACTACAAAATAGAGAAAAAAGAGAGAAACATATGTTGAAAACTGTTTGAACCTGTCTCTCTACTGTAGAAGAATTGCAGCTTTCTACAGTCCATTTTCCTTAAGAAAAAACAACTTGGGAGGAGTTTTTTAACATTCTTACTCTTTACCCTGAAATCTTTGGCTTTTTTATTTTGCCATGATGTGTGTTCTTTGGCTCGTTGTCTTTTCAATTTCTGTATACCCTTAAATGCATCCTGACTTTGCTTTTCTGATCATTTTTATGTTTGCTTTGTTGCTATACAACCCTTGCTTTGAAGCCATTCTTTATAGCTCCTCTTCCCACATTCCTGCGCCATTTGTAATATTATGAGATTTCCTCTTCATTCACACCTGACCTCCAGCTGACCTTTGCTTTCTTAGCTCTTGCCTCCTTCGCTACCTCCTCCTCCACATTCTCAGAATAAATGAATAAAGTGTTGCTTTAGCTGTGAGTCGTTGAGAAAGAGGAATGGAAGCATCCTCTCTATGGGTTCACATTGCTATACTGAGAAATGTGGAGACTAGGAGTGCTGATTTCAGTGGACACCAACTGTACTAGGCGGTTAATGACTATATCCCTGGCTTTTGAGGCCTCCAGGTTCTTCTCCCTAGACACTTGGAGACTAATTTGGTCCACACTGGTCATGATGAGTTCAGATGCCAGAATCTGAGTAGGGGAACTGTCATGAAACACAGTGTCCATAATGTACTGCTTATATAACTCCACCACCTTCTGCTCCAGGTACTCATTCAGCACCGCGTTAGAAATGGGCTTCTGCATTTGAAGACTGCTTTTCTCCTTGATACTGGTTATTTTCCAGTAGGATGAATACCGCTGGATAGGTTTTTGGGGAAAGTCACTGAGCTGAGTGGAAATGGAATCCTCCATGGGCAAAGGAATCTCAGACGATTTCAGCAAAGGGCCGTATTCAAAACTGCTCTCAGAGGGGAAATCAGTTGTCACTGAATTAATGGCCATCACCTGGCCCCCTGCAATATGTAAGTCATTGTAATTTTTGCAAATACTTTTGCAGGAAGGTGGAACCAAGTAGGTCTCTCTGCTGGGGTCTCTACATATTTCAATGGCAGCCAAGTTTGGGCTTTCAAACACAGGATTGGAGCTTGTCTGTAGCATTGTGATTCTCTGATTTCTACTGTGTTGGCTCTCTCTGGAATGCATTGAAGAAATAAACTTGCCAGAGGATTTGCAGCTCACGTAGAGACTCCTGACCTGTGTTTCATCCTCAGAGGAATAGGAAAGAGCAGCAGACTTCGTCTCCTCTTCCTTTTCCTCAGCCACCTGCTCATCAGAAGATGCACAACTCCAATGGACGTCGTTCCGGTAGGCAAGTCCACTGAGGTACCCTTCTGACAGCATTCTGGAAAGAGAGTTGGTGAGTAACAATAGGAAAAATGAAGACTGGAATTTTTTTAGATTGGCAGTTGATATATCAAAAAAGTAAAGGACAATAAATGAAGTCATTTTATTCATTCACCAAGCCAATATTAATGCTGTGCCTGTTGGGTACCAGGACTAGGGCATGTGCTGGAGATATAAAGTTGAATAGAACTCTGTTCCATCCTTCAAGAAGTTTCCACTATGGGAGAAAATAAGCTAGACACAAATAATTCTAATGTTATATCACTGAGGGTTAAAATTGTGATAGGCACAAAAGAAATACAGAAGAGGAGCCTCTAACACAGCCTGGGGCTAAGGGGGAGGAGTTAAGGGATATGTCCCAGAGAAGATGACATTTCAACTAAATCGTGAAGATTAAGTAGGCACAGAATCATAAGAGAATATGGCGGCATGGCTTATTCACCATACACCAAGTCATTAAGCATAAGCAGAAAGAGTTGGGACAATAGGCTGGAATTGGGTCGTGAAGGGTCTTAGGAGTCAAGCAAAGGCATTTGTATCCTGCCTCAGAGGAAATGGAGAAATGGAGAGTGATTGAAAAGCTATAAATTGAGGAGGCAACATAGCTAGTGAGTTATGAGAAACACAATGAGGAAACTTGTGACAAATTTTGAAAATAAGCGCTGTATTTTACTCATCTTTGTATTTTATCCTTGGGAGCCAGCATAGTTGTTTGCATTTAGGAGAGACTCTAAAGATATTTGTTAATTTGAATTAAATAATTGACAACAATTGCAAGGTTTGAAATTAATTCACTATCAACCCATCATGAAGGACCATGAAGCCTCACCTACCTTTGCAGCCCTGGATGAGTTTCTTGCTCTATCCCACCCACTTCTTATAATACATCCTAGAAATGTCTCTGGACGCAACTGACGTGTTTATCTGTACTCTATTTGCCAAGGAGCTTTCTAGGCTGTGGGCTTTCACTATACCTGCCTCACCAGTTGTCACCTGAGTCTTCAGTGCCTAGAATAGGCTAGAAACCAACAGCTGCATTTTTCTAGAAAAGAAACACACTGGCATTCTTGGCACTGGGGCAACAGACAACAAGAAGGAAAACTAGCCCTCTTTGGCCTTGAGGACTGGGCTTCTAAAACAGCCTTGTCAACTTGAGCCTGAATTGAAAAGTCAAATTGGAAAAGGATTATTTTAACCATACACAAGGGTCCTTTTTCAATATTAGCATCTCTTATACATGAAGTTATTTCCAAGTACGATTTTTAAATTGAGGTAAATATTATAATTAACATAATTATTTTAAATGTATAAGAGTATTAATTTCTATGTTTATTTTCTTTTGGAACTATTCCAAGACATATTCAGCAAATTTATCAATTATTTAAATGCTTATATTTTAGACACTGTCATGTGCCATAAAAATACAAAGTTAAACGTCTTCAACAAATCCATGAAGTAATTTTTGTATGCTGGACACACTTTTGAGGATAAAGAAAATGTTCTCTCCTGAAAAAAAAACTTTCCAAGTGTGGTTCTATCCCCAACAAACTGAACATCCAGGTGAAATGGCAAATACATGCACACACACACACACACACACACACACAC